AAGACCAAAGGGAAGTCTCCTAAGTTGTCATCTCCATGGGAAGGCCCATATGGCATAGTGGATCGTCTCTCAGACGTGACTTTCCGAATAAAATGTGGCCGGCGAGGTAAGCCAAAAGTGGTGCATGCCAACAGGCTTTGGCGTTATCACGGTCCAGGACATTTCAGTTGGGATGAAGTGACCATCGGTCACCTGAAAAAGCCACTGTCGAAGAAGAAACTCTACTCGGTTTTGAGAAGGGAAACAGTGAAGCCCTTGATGAAGTTACTACCACTGATGTGACTGTTACCGATGATAGGACAATTCCTGATGGAGCAAATGAACTCACGTGAAGCAGAAGCTAACGAAATCGAGACCAGTATGGAAGAAGATACGTCCCGTGAAATTATGAGACTTTGTTAAATTTTAATTTTGTGTTTGTATAGTTTGTACATTTTGTACATTTATTTAGATTATTGTTAATTATCTATTGGTTTAATGTAGTGGCTATTGTTCTTGACAAACAATACTAAGGAAGGGGCAGTGTTACGACAGCGGAAGCCACGTGACGCTGGTAACACGTAATGAGTATCTAAAAGGTTCGTGAAGGCTCGAGTGTTTGCCAGACTTGCTGTATTCTAATATGTAAGCCCGACAATCAAAGCGAGAGGGAATTAATATGAACTGTAGTAGCAGATACAGAGATTGAAGATATAGACACAGTTAATCGAGTGAAGTAAGTGATAGTGAGTCGTTGTGAATTATATCGTGTGTTTAATTCAAAGTGACTGTGGAAATTAAGTGTATTGCAAAGTTGAATGGAGAAAGAATAAACTAGTTTTATTTAAGAAAGGACTTGTATCGCAGAAGTTTCTCAGAAAGAATTTCTACGGAAAATTAACAAACGTAACAAATGTTTCAGGGCAGAGTGATGCTGAAAGTGGACCTGTTACAGCTTTAACATACTTTTGGTTGGATTTTTTCTGATCTGACAGAGTTCATTTGGCTCTCAGTTTTGAACCTCGACATTTTCTATTTAAGATTTAATTTTAACTCCTTCTAGCTATGTTGTTGTCAACTGGCCAATTGTTAATATTTCTGTTAGTGTTGCATATCACACCATATGATCTGCAGTAGACCATGGAGTATATAATATTTAATATATAAAATAAGACATATAAATATATTGTTACGTCTCCGTTTGTTAATTAACTTTCCGTAACTTCGTTCCGACGAAACTTTAGCGACACAAGTTCTTTACTTAATAAAACTGGTTTATTCTTTCCGAATACAACTTTACCGATACACTCAACTTCAACAATCGCGCTAAACAAACGCTGTAACGTCTCTCGTGCTCTCTGACTGCAGTTCAATTACTCACTATCTACCCAGACACGTTACATTCCCCTCTTATATATATCCGCCTACCCTATATCTAGTAAGAACTAGAACATTCGCCAAAGTACAGGATAATTCAAGAAAGGAGAGAGCGTGAGAATCACATGATCTCGATGACGCAACAATATAATACATAATATTGATAATTACGTACATCTTTGAAATATAAATTCTAATTAAAATTAATAATATGCATAATAAGATACAATCACATACTATATAATACTGATAATTTATATCTTTATATGGTTTCACTTTAAATCTGTTTGTTGGATCCATTTATTTACTATAACTTTTCCGTTTTAAATGCTATTTAGCAGTGCCGGCTCTTTTATTGCCGAGCAGTTTTGCTTAGTATAGTTGTAAAGCTCATTATATCTACCTTGTAACCTGAAGAGAAAAGGCGTAAGTTTGATATTAGAATTTATCGACTGTTTTTCCATTGCTGAATACAGACTCGCTAAAGATTGCAGAATGAGCGAAGATGACATTAGCAACAATGTGAGCAACGATAGTCTAGTGCAAAATGAGGTAATTTCAGTACTATATAAAAGAAAAGTGCTATGTTAAATTTAGCACTAGCAGCATCAAACTCAAAGTAAAGTAGGCGTAGGTTTAAATTAATTTAAAAGACAAAGACTGAGTAAGAATAAGATGAAAATGTTGATACTATGATAGTATTAGACTATTAGTAATGATATCGTTATAATATGAGTTATTACAAACGAGTACTTCACACTTGTTTTATTGCGAAAATAAATTTTCCTTCGTAATGTGAATTATTCATAAATAGTACCAAACATAATTTCAGAAGTTAAGTTATAAAGAGGTGTAACTTGTAAGACAAACTATAATAAAAAAAAATTAAAAATACTTCATGTTACGAAACCAGTTTTTAAGCAGGTGGATATAACTGGTTTATCTGACTTGCTAATTTAAACTTATGAGACTTGGTATGTTATTGTTAGAATAAATCTAATTAAAAGCTATTTTATGCATTATTTTTTGAGTACTTCTTTTAACATACACAATTTACTTTCTTTAATTCTTAGTCATCTATTGATGTTTCAATCTGGTTTTATTTAGTTGCATTACCAAAAGATAATAAGGGCCATCAGCATCTGACCCATCTGGATTATCCCATTTTATACCACCACCTGTATGTAATAACATATGGACAAAAAGGGACCATTTGACCAAAAACTGTGGGAGGCTTTTCTTGCCACCCACCCCTGAGAGAAAGTATAAGTACAACTTCAAATCCACTCTTTATTTTTCAGGAATATATAGATTTATCTCTTAAACATTTGCAATGAGCTGACTGATAACTGTTACTGCTAGAAAAACAAGACTGTCTTTTCTAAATCTTCAATTTCATTCTACTATCCTAAGAATACAGAACAAAGAAATGGGAAGCATTAATTGTATTGATTCCCCAGATAATCTTATAAAGTTCAGTAAGATCTTTCTTACACTTTTTTTTATGAAGAGGATATAAGTCACATCTTAACCAATTCCTATAAGATAATCATCCATCCTTAGAATTGTTTTATTAGCCTACCTCTGAACTCTTTTTTCAGTAAGTTGATGTTTTTTTTTTCTTGGATAAGGAGACCAAAACTGCACAGAGCATTGCATGAACTATCTAGTTATTTGCACTGAGAGATAGTTATCTCATCTGACGTTGACTTGTAATCAGTACATGTATGTTTGTAAATGGATCCAAAAAGTATATTAGCTCTACTTCTAGATTAAAGCACGGTCTCAGTTGTGACTTACCCACAACTCTAAAAGCATGATCATTTTCTTCATTTACACATAAATATTCAAGACGGACATGTTCTTTATGTCCAGAAAAGGGATTGGCTACAAGCAAAAACCAGGTTTTCTGACAAATGGTGTAAATGATGAAATTAAAGATGTTGGTCAAACAGGACATAAGTAAATCTAGAAAGGTTATATGAAAAAATATTACCTTAAAATGTAAAAAATAAAAATTTTTTATATAAATACTTGAGGGTAGAGCTGGGTTATTAATGAACTTGTTAATTAATTAATCATTGGGTTCCTTTATTCAGTGACACAAAACAGCTTTCCTTAATTTGCACTGCCCTTAGTATGTACGAAATCTTTTCCCATCACTAGCTTTTATACTCCCACTAATCTCCATGTTTTTCCACATGGTAAAGCTGCATTGTACAATGCAAATAAGCAATCGACAACCTTCCACCAATAGGAGTGTGACACAGCAGAGTCCAATCTTCACTTCTTGATTTGGCATGATAGTGATCATTCATCGTGCTCACATTTTTTAAAATTTAATTTGGTGTACAACATTTTTGAGCTTTGAAAAATTTGAGAATTCAAACATTTCTTCACAAATTATTTTTGGATTTGAAAAATTTATTTTTGGATTTTAAAATCTCCTTTGCTTGGATTTGACAAACAACTTGGAATGTGTTTTTCGTGTACTTCAAGTGAATTTCATTTTGAATAATTTCCGTGAATGACTTATTATGAATTAAAGGTTCCAAGTCACTACTACTACATCTTCAGACACAATTTCAGGTGAGCCAGAATCGGATGATGAGGGTTTGGACAGCCGTTTTCTTTCCCCATTCTTTTGCTGTTCAGTCATCTTCTCAGACAATGGATGTGCCATGACTTTTCTCTCTGTTTTTGGGGGTTGGTTTCACAGGTATGTTTGTTTCGTCTTTGTCTCCCGTGTCTTATGGCTTATACCCTTCCCTTTTGACAAAAGCACTTACTGCTCAATATTTTATCCTTCCTCTCTCACCTGACATCAGTTGTCCAACAGTTGTCTTCAGGAGTCAGCATGCTGTGTACCACATGCATGGCGGAGGTTCATGCTTTGGCTTACCATCGTTCAGCATATCCTTTTCTGGATACTCAACTTTTGGAGTCACTCTTTGCCATTGTTGGTTGGACCCTGACACTTCTGTTCATTTTTCACAGGTACAGCTTTCCTGCATTCACCTGACATTTACATCTCTCCTTCGTGACCTTCCTTCCATTCACCTTTTGTCATTGTCTATATGTTATTCCCCTGAGGGGTTTTCAGCAAATGCCCATTCCCTCCTCTTCTCTACATTGTCATGCTTATCATCTTACATTTCCTTACACCTTGGCTCTTTTGTTGTTGGAACCTCTTAGGTAAGAACGGGCTCTTAACTCACGCATCTCCCCCTACCTATTTTTGTAAATTATGCATGGCCCCTTTTTTACACCAAATGTTTTTTTTTTGGATCTTCCTGACTCTTTGGAGTTGAGATTGGAATCTGCCTATTTGCATACGTCTCTCTTCTCTCTAGCCTCTCATTTATCACAACCTTCCCCTGCATGGCTACCTACTTCATCTCCCTTACTACCTCCTTCTTCCTCACAGGTCATGCCTTCACAGAGTTATTGTTCACCACTAACCTGCATGTCACCAATGATATAGGTCTCTGTCATGTTGGATCAGGTCCAGTATGGTCCAGATTACTGCTTTTTGAGAATGTTTGGAACTCATTTACCACCAACCTTTGGGTTCTTAGGTCTAAACAAAAGGACTGTCCCTTCGTTTCTATTCACCACCTCCCCTATCCTCCTTTTCTGTTACCCCCCCCCACCTCAGGATCCTCTGTCCAGCCAGCTTTTTTGTAAGATAATTCAGGATCTTCTACTTCTACTCAAAAGTGCTAAGGAACCAGTAATTCCTACTCTTCCCAGTTTCTGTTCCCATCATTTTGTAGACCCCAGGAAGGCTGGGGATTGGTGTCCTATTATGGATATCTCTCCCATATGAGCCACTGTTTGAAAGTTACTTGGATCACCATAGAGTCTTTCCTGTCTCTTCGATGGGCTTTCACTCCAGGTCTTTGGATGACGATGTTCAACATATCAGGCACTTTCCATCAGGGTCTGGGAGAGAAATACTGGGCTCTGGTGCTCCCCCTAATTCTGGGCCCCTCATCCTCACTTACACCCCCCCCCTTCCCAATTGTATATATTATTTTTTCCCATTGCAAGACTCGCTAAAATGCACCATCAGCATATAAATACTACTTTTTGGAAGGCTTTTTGGTATTATATGTGGGGAAAATATTTGCTTGATTCCGAGCCTTGGTGATTTGCACTGGGTGCACAAACCCCATCTCCCAGGCCCTGCTTACCACTATATTTCCATTTCTCCAGCATCCCGTCATTATATTTGCTTCATCCATAGGGACCATACATATCAGTTTCGAAATGGCCTTAGCCCCGTACAATTTTTATCGGGTTTTGAAAGCCTTCGCCCAACTTCTTCATTCACATGGGCTTTGTTTCCATCATTATATGGACAACTGGCTACTTCTAGTTCCTTAGCATTCTGCCTCTTCTATCAACATGCAGGTTCTTTTCAAGGAAGCTGCGTGGGTGGGTTGGCTGGTCAAGGTGAAGTCCATTTTCATATTGACTCAATACCTCATTCATTTTGGGGTTTTCAACTTAGTTGGGTCCAGCCTTCTCTTTTCTGACTGCATTCCTTGAAGCTTATGATCCAGAACGCATATTCCTCACCTTTCCTTAAAGATTCTTATTCCCTCTTGGTTGTGCCCACATGTGATCTCTTCAGTGGGTCCTTCAGGATTGATGGGACTGCACCAGAGATCCTCCGGATTATCCAGTATTGCTTCCTCATTCCCTCCAGATTAATTTTGCCTGGTGGCTGGATAGGAACCACACAGTGGCTGGTGTCCTTCCTTCTCCATGGTCAGAGGGGCATCTTTTTTTATGGACATTTTTCTGTTGGGCTGGGGGGCATACTACAATGCCCAAGAGATTTTGAGCCATTAGTTTTCAGTCTAGTCAAGTTTTCTCATCAATATTCTGGAATACCTGGCTGTTCATTAGGCAATGGATCATTTCTTGCTGGCTTTGAGGAGCAAAACAGTGATGATCTAATAAAACAACTCAACTGCTATCTCTTACATTACTTGGGAAGGGAGCTTCTGGGCCCACAGGTGTCACATTTCTTTGCTGGCATGTCATATTTCAAGGCCCTTTCAATCTTGTCATGGATTGATTATCTTATTTTGACAAGGTTCTTCCCATGGAGTGGTTTTAGGTGGCTATGCTTTCAGTTGGGTACTCCACGGCTGGAAGCATTTACCACTCATCTGAATACCAAACTCCATATATTTTGGTCTCCTGTTCCTCATCCTTTAACTTTGGTGATTGATGCCCTCAGATCTAAACAGTTATGCCAATCCTCCCCATCCATCTTCTTCCTATCCATTAGCCAAACTGCTCAGGGTTGAGTCCTTCTAGTTGCTCCGTTCTTGCCAGTTCAACCTTGGTTTCCTTTGCTTTTCACTCTTCAGTTATCATTATCTTTCTCTCTCCCCTTCCCTTCTCTGTCAACCTCATTCAGCAGTGCGTCATCCGTACATTCACACCCTTCAACTTCACATGTGGCTTTTCTCTGATTCCTTGTGCGAGGTTCTAGATTTTTTACCTGGGTAGCATTCCTTCTTTTCCACTCCATCTGCACCTTTTCCTTGTCCCAATGTAAGTGACATTTTTTTCACCATTGTTCTAATCATTGGGGATTTATTCCTTCCTCTCCATCTGTCCTTCACCTGTCTGAATTATTTTACCTGGCTTTATGATAACGGTCTTTCTGTTTTGACCATTGCAAGTTATAGAGCTGCATTATCATTTAACTTTCATTTTTTCAATTCTGCCATGTTTTTCCTTTCCTGTTATTTCCTTCTTGTTTTATTCTTTTCATCTCATTGTCCCCTTCGACCTACTTCCTTGCCTGATAGAGATCTTAATGTTGTCCACTATGCCCTTTCTCTACCTCTGTTTGAACTTTTGGCTTCCTGTTCCGTATATCACCTATCCTTGAAAACTTTTTTTTCAATCCTCAATTTTGCTTTCAGATGTCAAAGGTTTGATGTGTTTGCCATTGATGTCTCTTGCATCCTTTACTACCGAACCTGTGATCTCCTTTATCCTGATTGTACCTTCCTACCAAAAACCTCCACTGCATGTGAGGATAATGTTGCCTTCACTCCTATTTCTTTTCCTTCCATTTCACATATATTCCTGTTCTGATCCCAGGTGTCTCCTGTGTCTGTATAGTGCTGTGTGGTTTTATGTGGCTTGTATGGCTACTCTCTGTGGTTCTCATTCCTGTTTATTTATACATTCGAATCTTTCAGTTTCCTGTGTCCTTTCTCCTATTGCTATGTCTGGTTGGGTTTGGCAAATCATTCGTATAGCCTATTGCTGCTTCTGTCTTGATTTCTGTTACTTTTTTTCCATAACGCCGCTCATCAGATTTGTCACCTTACAATGCCTTTTACTGCTCGTCTTCATCATCGTTTGAAAGAGATTATCCAGGCTGGCATATATACCACACCTCATACTTTCCTGTCACATTATCTGCATCGTCTGGTGGTTTCCTACTCAGCCAAATATTGTCTCCTGCATGTCGCCATCCTTCACTCATCAGTTCATCTTTGAGTTGGTTTTTGTTTTCTTCTTTATTTTATAATACAGGAGCTTCCTTTGTGGCTAGTGGTGCCTGTCCATGTTTACTAATTCTTAAATCTGCACTGTGTGACTCTCCATCGCTAACACTTACTGTTGAGATGGGGTGTTCTACAAGACTACATGTAGGTTTGTGCTTGTGGTGTTTTGCTTCATAAATATGTGGAATAACATGAGTAAAGCAGGAAGGGAATGCTGCCCTTCCCTGCTATTCTCTTGATTGTAGATATGGGGTTTGGTCTGCTTTTTAAAATAAGGTTTATGGTTACCCATACTTTCTCTGGTGATGCATTCCTCTGGATTTTCCAATGCATTTTTCTCCCCTCTTCTGGTGGAGTATGGAAGGCCTTGCCACTTACCAGCTCTTAGCTGCTGGGATGGTGGACCATGAAAGCTTCCTCCTGAGTGTGTTTAATTCCACTCAGTTGAGAGTAGGGTGGTGGTGTTTTGCTGGTGTAGTTGGCATGACTATCCTCCTACCACAGATCTGATGTAAGATCCCAGATGCTGTACCATGTGGACTGGATTTTTCTGTCATATTTCTATATGCAGTTCAGCCCTCCGACTGGGAACCCTCCTTCCAACCACTGCCTGGATGTTGGTTAACCGGGCAACTGGTATTGGTTGGAGTTGGACCAGTCAACATAAGTACTCACATGTGAGTGGGCTGGGATCTTCCTCCTACTGTGGACTGGACAATACATTCCCAATTTCACATGGTTTTGGAGTTGACCCTCCACATTGTACTTCCACCTTTCTACCATTATCTGGAGTCCAGTTCCTGGGGTGTATTAGTTTTGGTTGTGCACACACAATGGCTTAGGGTCTTGGAACAGGAGTACTTCCCTTTGATCCAATCTCGGTGCCATTGGTTTTGGACTGGAGTTGACATTTGCTTAATGTCTGTTATGCCCTAGCCACTCTACACCAATAGCACTTTTTTGGTTATGCTTCATTTTCTGACCATTTTGTGACATAATCATTCATCTTGTGTGAAGATATACCTGATTCAGATGTAATGCAGTTGGGAACGTGTGTTTCCTCTACAGTAAGATGTCACAGTCCTTCAGTCCTCTTCTCTGACATTTGCTATTACATGATTTATAACCAATAGAAAGAGAAAATTTTAGTTTACTGACTTGCATATAATTCTAACTCATTCTCATGGCAGATTCTCGCACACAGAGAAATCCCCCACCTCTTCCTCCTCTTGTAAACCTCTAAATTCAACACTAAATGGTAAGAGTCATTGTAAGTGCTTGAAAAGTATAATGGTCTGTTTTTTGATTATTTATGGGTTAAAATTTTTTTGTAATTTTAGAGTTCAACACCTGATCAACAAACAAGTGAGCCACAACAACAACAACAGGCATTTTCATGGGCTGGTGTGATAAAAGGCATAGTTATTAGAGCTCTGATAATTTATTTTATCACCAGTTTTTTCCGTCGACCCCAGACAAGTCCAGATAAGTCTTTTCCTAGCTCACCCAGCACAGCATCTTCCAATATCTTCAACAATGGAACTGTTATGGTAAGCATCCTTCTTGAATGATCTTGTGAATCACTTATTTTAAAATAATACTTGAGGATCCAACAATTAAAAATGTACCAATCATTTTGCCCAAAACAGAACATATGTTTGTTGTGTTGTTTCTGTCGTCTAGTAAACTTTTTTTCAATAGTGGTGCTTATGTTTTATATTTCAAAACTGTTTACAAAGTAATACACTAAACAAATTACAGTTACAGACAAACAGTGTTTAGAGAAAGTATTTACATAAACAAAATCTAACTAAAGTAAAACAGTCTTCTTTCTTGATCACAACAAAACCTGGCTAGTTTGAAGGATTACCCATTAGACTTAAAACTGAACTTTGCTAAACTTACAAAATAATTACTGTTTTCCAAGTAAAAAAGAGAAGCAAAACTATAAATCACCTGTTTAGAATGATACATAATTCTGTCTTTGTTAACAGCTTTCCAAGGTTTCTACTTTGTTAAGCTTTTAGACCAAGATATATTGTTCTGAGGGAAGAAGTTCTTTCAACTTGAAAGCAAATTAAAAACTTTTAAAGTACTGACTACAGTTTGGGTTTTAGTAGCTATGAAAAATACACATTCCTCCACCAAGTAAAAAAGAGAAAATCCTACTGAGAAGCGCACAATGTTTATCTTTGGCCAGTAAGGAAAAAAAAGCAGTTTTATACATATATTTCACACATTCTGATGCAGAACTAAATATTTACATAAATCTGATTATTAAAACAATATATTTCTGGATATTTCCATCCAAAAACTGTTTAACTGACTGATTGTATTATACTCTCATTCTACAGTTTATCATCTTTCAGCAAAGTCCCTAATTTAATGGCTAACTCGTAGAACATCTAAATGCTGACTTTTAAAATAACTATCTACTTGTAATATGTAAACAGCATAAACTAAGCCATCCAGGTTAGTACTGAGTTATGTTCTAGAAGAACAGAGGTTATGTTTAGGCTTTAAATACACTTATTTTGCTTGGCCTGCTTTTTGAGTTAATTTATTGAGTGGAACTCAGCAAGTTGCCTTACATGATGATTATGTAAGAAGTTATAAAGGTCAGAAATTGTGGTTTCCCTTTTATATTATTGATTTGGTGGTGTGGGTCATATGATATTTTAGGAAGGTTTTGTATAATTCCAAGCAGTAGTTCTTGGTAATAACTTGCTTGACATTTTTGAGATTTTAGACATGCCTTCAATTGGTTTTTGTTCAGTAGCCACCAGGATGTGTTGAATTGATATTAAATGTCTGTGTTTACCTGTTGGTTAATTCACATGCCAGCTTTATATATCGTTGTGAAACAAATTAAACAGTTTTGTGTCAGTCTCTAATTTAATGTCAAACCTAAAATTTGATTACTAATTTCTCAAGCAAATGTTATAGTATCTACAGTTACTGTGATTTTAGTAACTTATTTTACTGTTGGGTCTATCTTATCTGAGAATGCTACATACTTATTGGATGAATTAAATTATTTTTGGCTTTAACAAAATCTTTAAAATAAACATTATGGGTATTTTAGTAACATAACTCTTGTATACTTAAATGATAAGGGATTTCCTAGCTGCTAGCCCAGTAGAAGTTTTCATTACAGTTTTATTTAATGGTATTTCTCTACAATAATAAACATTTTGTTTACCATTAAATACAAATAGGTAATGAAAATAAGTACAATTAACCTACTATTTAAAGTACTGTAAAGAAATTTCTGCTTTCCTTATTTTTTGTATTAAATTTTACCATAATAAGTTACTTATATATATATATATACCATTAATTATCAAAGATAGATCAGGGTCTAAAAATTTTACAATTTCAACTGCCATGCTATCAAAAATGCATTTTGTTATACATGTCAAAAAGTAATAAATGTAGTGGTAATATACCACAGCATTTAGCAACACTGCTTGTGGAAAGTGGAAAATTCACCATGAAAAACTGTTTATATTTACTTACAAATAAATTAGCAGTTAAAAAAAAAAATATATATATATATTGTTTTAATAAGTGATGTTCATTTAGTCATAATTAATGAGTTTGATATTAAAATAAATAATTCATTGATTCAAAGTTGTTTTTATGTAACTGTGGATTGACAAGGAGCTGATATATTATCTGTAAAATTCAGCTCTCAAATGTACATTCCCATCAGTGCTGAAATATATAGTGTTTTCCAACAGAAGTTATAAGTATCAGCAATACATAGCAAGGTGAAGAAATGTTGAACAGAAAACAATCTCGAGCATGGACAGCAGAGGAAAAGAAGCAAATATACATGTAAGAATATAACAGTCTTCATTCATACCACAAGTGAAATATATTTCCAGAACTTTACCTAAAGCAACCAGCTTCTGTAATTTGTACTGACTGCAGCTGGCTGCTGGAGTAGGTGGGATACATAGGTATTGTATATATAATATTGATGGTGCATATGTATAGATATTGCAGTTTGCCCCTCAGGCTGAGATGTTTCTCCTACCTACCATGCTCTAAGTAAGTCCTCATGTGTTCTGGCTGGTATCCCTCTTTCTACTGCATCTGGATGAAAAATGCTCAATGCTGCCAAGTTTTGGATCGGAGATGTCATCCCACTGAGACTTTCCTTCTTCCTGCTGTGTCAGTTTGTGGTAGATCAGGTGTTGGTTGGGTTGGAAGTGCACGCAAGTGGAAATGGATTTTGATATGGAAGCTTGTCTTCCCTATTAATTTCCATTTCAAGGTGAAGAGGTAGGTGATCCTCTGCCTACCACAGAACTGTTGTACAATATCAGATACCGCCAGGTGTTGGATGATGCCAAACTACCACAGCGATCTGTTGCATCCTAGCCACTCGACACCCAGGGGCCCCAGTAATCAGTAATATGTATTATGGGATTCATTCATGTTTTTCTGCCTTTTATGTTCATGACACAGTCATAAAAGATCAAAGAGTATACCTGAATCAGATGTTGTGCAGTCTCCAGCTGAGGTGTGATATTTTCTTTTTTTTGTTCCACACCTCATGGTCTCTCTTTGGGTGCTTCCTAAAGAGGGATAATTTTTCACTGGCCCTCCACTAGCTCAATGTGGAATTCTAGTAATTTCGTGAGAAGAGATAAGATGTATCAGAAATTAAAATTTTCATAAACTGAAAGTGTATTTCTGATAGATACTTACCGGTGATATGTGGTGTATGCCCTATGACCAATCTCAAAGTGATTAACGAGTGCAACTGTGGAAAGGGCACTGGAGAGCTGCTGCATAATCATATGCATGTGGATATGCAGAAGCAGGAGGTGGAAGGCTGGTGGCGAGCATTGAAAATTTGCACCAACAGAGGGCAGTACTAATCAAGAAAAGCTATTTTGTGAGGAGAGGTAAATATATCGGAAATACATTTTCAGTTTATGAAAATGTTAACTTTAGCTTGCCATATTGTGAGGTCATTTCATTATATATTACAACTGTGACATGCAGCATATGACTTCTAGTCTTTTCTTGAAAGTATAAAAAGACCGATTGCACCAAGGAGAGATGTTGTTTTTTTGTTTGTTTTGTGTGTGATGTTTTAAGTTGCTGGTGTTAGTTGTTGTAGTGTTTGGCAATTGTGAATATTACCACATGTGCGTACAAATTTGATTTCTTTGGATTTTGTCAGAGATTTCACAGTTAAACATCTGTGAAAGAGACCTAGTGCATTCTATAAAAGTATTCATGTCAATAACCTCAAGAAAATTGCAAGTCAAGTCCTGAGAGGTATACATTTGGTGTCTGGGCTGTGGACTATTAACTCTTTCGAGACGGGTCACAGGTGAAAGGCCATGTCATCTCGTTTGTTGACTTCCATTCAAAATTTTATTGAACTACTATTTTATGAATTTATGTCAGTAAATTTGGTATAAAATTGTAGATTATAATTCAAATTTTAGTACTATATATTACTCAATCTTTTAATTTGTGTGTGTGTCACATGGTATGTTGAATGCAGCACTCATTCAAATTAGATTTTTGTGAAATTAAAAATACTAAGTCTATAGTTTCGTACAAATTAGAAACTTAAATTACCAATATTGATAAGCTAGAATATAAAATAAGAGCCTCTTATCTTTTCTATTTGCTAAGATTTTGCTCATGTAATAAATCAAACACAGTGGCACCCCACCCACTTCTTTTCATTTTTGGAAATTCTCCCTTATATACACTTCTATATATGACATGAAAAACCAATCGGAAGCTCAGAATGTCCCCCTAGTGGCTTTCTCAGCCATTTTAAATTCTTAGGATGCCATTTCTTTCTTTTGAACCAAGATTTCAAGGAGGTAGGTTGTGTCTTTAGTCTGCTTGAAATTTCATATTTTATTACATTAAAATACATCTTAGTTACTACATTTGATAAATTATAGTAGAAATCTATGGTATTGATGTAGTAACTTATGATTTTTTAGTTATTCAACTGTATATATATAAAATGTAAAACAAATTTTTTGGTTTCTTATTCTCCACATGCAAAAGTTTTAAAGACTTAACAACCTACTTTAAGCAGCAACCGAGTACAAAGGTTGTAACAAGAAGAGATAATTGTTTGCTTTACTTCTTTATTTACTGTTCTATGTTTTAAAAAAAATAAGTTTAATAACTTATTTCAAAATAGCAATAATCTATTTATGTATATAATGTATAATAATTGAAATGTAACTGTATTTTTCCAAATACTAGTCTACTAAAACACAGCCAAGACAAATTACTTTGTATGGACCAAAGGTCACCTTTATGTTATTTTATACGCTAACATGAGTGCACGTGAACCGCGTCATTGTAACTTCTGTTTTGTTAGCCAGGCATGGGTGAAGGGTCAATATAATAAAAATAATAAATATATATAAATGTATAATGTTATGAGATTTAAGCTATTTCGTCTAAACATTTATGTTTTTGTGTTATAATTTGTTTTCATTCAAGAATGAAAGAGGCATAATTTATGTTTATTTCCTAATTTTTTATGGTGGTT